GCGGGGCCCTGCCGTGGCGTCCCACCCAGCCCGCAGCCTTCGGCTCGCCTGTGGGAGCTGGCAGTGGGCTCGGGGCGGAGGATGCGTGGGGTCACCCCCGGTGTGCCTGTCGCCCCCTGCCACAGGACCCCGTGACTGAGGACGGAGAGGGTGCAAAGGACACCCACTCTGTAGGCACTTAGGGGACACCCCGGAAACGGAGAGTCTGCCCCAAGCTCAGCCCCCTTGTTACGTTCCCCATGCGAATGGGCACAGAGGATCACACCACCCTCGCTGCCAACCCCGGACAGTGATCATGTGCCCAAAAAACATGTAAATGTACCTAAAAGTGACTTTTTGGGCCACGGAGCTGCCGAGAACCAACGTGAAGGTGAGGGTTACACCACGGGCAGTGGCAGCCACCCCACGGGGCAGGAATTTTCCCCCTCGGCATACGTGGGGCACAGTTTGCACCCGACGTGCGCCGAAGCACTGGCTGAGTCCCCCGTACATCTCCTCCCTTCTTCCTCCTCCTCCCCAGCCCCCTCCCCCTGCAGCCCTGCAAAACCGCTGAGCTCAGCACATCCCAGGCAGGGGCCCAGCCAGGACCCTCCCCAACGCCAGCCGCCCCCGCCGGCTCCCGCTTAACCCTTTGCGAAGCCGGCAGGGCTGGAAATCGGAGCGATCGAGCAAATCTCATCATGGAAGGGGCAGGGAGGGGGTATCCCACAAGGCACAGCCGGCTGGGAACAAACTGTCCAGAAAGTTTGATCCATCATCCCCCCCGCCTTTTACTCTCCCCAGAAAGGGCGGCAGGTCAGAGCGGGGGGAAAGACACGCTGCTCAGCCGCAAAAAATCACGCTGGGTTTACGCCAGCGGCAATACCCCGGGGAGGGGAAGTGCAGGGATTACTATAGCTAAAACTTTGCTTTCTAGCCCAAAACCATTTCTAGAGGCTCTGCTGCAGAAGAGCAGCCCTGGTCGCAGTCTCTTTTTAGGAAAGAAAAGGAGCTGCGAGCCCCGCAACGCCTCCCCTCCCAGCAGAAGCGCGAGCGCGCAGCATCACCTTAGGATTATTTTATTTCAGAGATCAAAAATTATGTTTCACTTTAAAACTTGCTGTCACACCAGAGGCTGCTCACTCCCCTGCCTACCAGGCGATGTTATGGTAAAGAAAGAAAAATATTTATGCTCAGCTTCAGTATTCAAGCTTATTTTTAGCAAGGCGCCTTCCCTGTGGTCCTTTACCTCTTTTTTGTTTATTTGCCGTTTTCCCCCTGTTTTGACCCCAAAGCCAGCAGTTCCTCATCTATTTTCAGCCTCACCCAGCGAACGTCCGTACCAATGACTTGGTGGTTGCAGGGAGAAAAAAACCCACAAGTTAGGTTTTGTTAAAAACAGGATCCCAAGTACTATCCAACCATTTGTGTGCATATTTCGCTGGATTGCGCGGCGAGTGCGCAAATATCAGTGTATATTTTTAACCGCTGGGGTTGGGGTTTGTTCATTTTTTGTCCCAAAAAGCAGAGCAGCAGCCCTGCATGCCGTGGGCGCAAGCCAGGGCTTGTTCCCAGCTCCCCACACATCCCCTCTGCCCCACTGCTCCCCGGGATGCTGCACACTCTCCCGAAACGGTGACGAATTCAAGCCCCGCTTCCCCTTTGACCCCTAAAAAGCCATTCCCCACCGCTAGCGCTGCTGGTGATGTGGCCGGACCCTCTGCACCCGCTGCCCCGCAGCTTTTGGGTGGGAGAATTTCTCCCTGTCCCCCCACTGCGGAGGTCACCAGCGGCGGGCGCGACGCCGGAGCGGGGGGCCTGTCCCCCTCACTCTCGGCTGGCGTTTGCTCTCCGCCGTGTTTATCACCCGGCTGTTATCAATCTCTGCTCAGGAAGGACAGTACCCAAGATAGCTCCCGGAGTGACTTCAGAGTGTGCTCAGCTCCTCCGATAAAGCCGCAGGGAGCACGGTGGGAGGACAAACAAAGCCCTTTATCGCCAATTAATGGGCCTTCGGCTCCCCGCGCTCCTCAGAAAGGTCACGTACGCAGGGGCAGGCACGCACGGACCTGCGGAGAG